CATCTTCTATACTTAACCCACAGCAAAGGCTAGAAGAATATCTGTTCAGCTAGCAAACTCTACATCCAATGATAGACACTGCCCATCATGTACAAGGCTGTCCAACAGAACTAGTCCTTTCCAAAATACAGAGTTAGTAGTCCCTAACTATTCACATTTACCCAAACTCTTCTCAGGTTGTACAGTGATAAGTCAGAATACAAAAAAAATGCTAAAATAACTTTCTAAAGTGTTTTTTTTTTTCTTAAAAACAACAACAGGTCACTAATGGCATTAGCAGCAAATCATTTTGAATACATATTAAGCTCCCCACCAAGAATTTGGTGGTTATACACAATGTTTTTACACAGCAAGAACCTTCACGTCATAAAAAGAACATCATATTGGATAAAAAATATTGACTATTGCCCCTCAAAACATAGAGATGCCTCAAATACCAGACACCTGGCTTTTGGCAGTGATGCTTCAAAGTAGGCAAGAGTTGGGGGGAGGGGGAAAGAACTGAAAAAGCTACTACATAAAACGCAACAGCCTTGTAAGTCATCTTATAAAAAGAGAAATTGCCAAAGTAAAAGGGTAAAAATGGACAGGGAATTGACTCAGCCTTGTTTGCCAAGAAAGCTCCACGTGTACTGATTCATCCCTGCCCAAGACACTCTTTATAGAAGCCAAGCAAACACAATGCAAATGAACCATCATAAAGACCCCAACCTGGAGTGTTGCTATATCAACCATTTCCAAGGGTTAAAAAAGGAACATCATTTGGAGTGTCCAAATAAAAATACATATTGATTTAAAGAAAGAAAAAAATGTGGAGCTGATTTTAAAACGATTACCAAATATAAAAAACGTATTAAAAACAGCACAGAAATACACATACAGGTTCGATGAACAGAAAGAGGAACAATTCTCCACCAAAAAATTAGGTCTGACAAAATTAAAACCCATTGATTTGGCCCCATGGCTGTATTGTCGGAAGACTCACAAACTTTTTCAAGTTTAACATACAGTACCAACTGTGCAAAAAAAAAAAAAAAGACAAAAGAATGAGCGGCAATAAGGGGCATAAAGCAAAGAGGTACAAGCTGATCCAATGTGGGGGATTGAGAATGAAATAAAAAGAAAAATGTACACAACATTTCCAGGTTACCCTGTAGATTTGTTTTTACATGTAGTGATTATTAATTTTTTTGCAAAAAAAGTAGATTTAAGTTGATCGTAAAAATTGAGGTGATCTCCACTTGGTCTATCCAGTTTTGGACAGTAAAGCAACAAACAAGTCAACAGGCAGTCAAGGAGGACCCAGACCAGCTGACCTCAAGGGACAGACTAGTCCAGGGGTGTCCAAACTATGGCCCTCCAGGTGTTGAGGAACTGCAAGTCCCATGAGGCCTTGCAAGACTCCGACATCCGCAGGTAAGACGCCCAGAGGCAGAGGCATGATGGGACTTGTAGTACTTCAAAAGGCAGCTGGAAGGCCATAGTTTGGATACCCCTGGACTAGTCAGACAGGTTCAGAAACTAGTGTGACTATTACTATCCCAACAAAATAATTCAGGCATTAACGGTTTTATCTTTGGATGTTTCGGCCTACTGGCACCGAGACTTGTCAAGCCTTTTGCACCTGTATATGAAATCAGCAGCACCACTTAAATCAGCTTGTACTTGCATAGTAGTCGTGTTAAGAGGGAGAGGGGTCTGGCAAAAAAAATGGCTCATAGATATCATGTATTTTCATGAAGGGCATCAAACTCTCCAACATCAAGTTGAATATAATATAGGCCAAAATGACCAGTTTTGAAAACAAATGGTCTTCAAGAGTTTTCAACTGACCGGTAATAGGGCGGCAAGACAAAACCACGGTAATAGGGCGGCAAGACAAGGCCATGGACTACTAGTCAAGGCATATGATATTTTAAAGAACCTAACCCCCTCCTTGATGACTGGGCCCCTAAAAATAATAGTTTGTTCTGCCACTCATTCATCACATGGACATCTCAGTACACAATGTTTTGTCACGAGACAGTGCAACTAAAATACAATCTACATATATACAAGAGTCCACAGTTCTAATAAAATTCAAGTATTTTCATAAAAGAAATTAAATGGACACAGAAGTCAGGGAGCAGAAAGTCACGTTTTTGTCAAAGGCTTAGATATCATCTGAATATGACCTCAAGGTCTTCTGGCAAGACCTTCACTCTAAGTTGTCCAGTGTAGGAATGTGCCAACACTCAAAAAGGTCATCATTTCCATGGAAGAATATTCTTAACACTTGGTCCAGCTTTTCTCCAAAAACCATTTGGCTTTACCAACCATTGCTTTAAATAATTTTTCCCCCTAGACCCATAGTCAACAAGTCTCCTTAAATATTTAAAAATGTCCCAGAAAAAAAACAAAAACAGTGCAGCCACGTCACGTGTCTCCCTTGTTATTGATTTTGTTGTACTCGTTTAGAAGCTGTTCGTACGGAACGGTTTCCTCTGTATCGTTGCTGGAAAAAGAGGACTCATCTAGACAAGTAAACTCATCGAGTCGGGTAGGAGTCTCAGGGGGTTCATTATTCTCCTCTATGGAAGATTTAGATTTCTCCTCATCCTCTGACAGATCACATTCCTCCTCCACATTTACAAAAGTAATGTTGTTTTGGAAAATCAAAGGCTTGTAATCTTTGGATTCCCAGGGTTCAGATTCCTCCTCACTGATTCGGTCTAATTGGTTGATGAATATCGTGGCTTCCTTGTCCTGGAAAGGTCTCATGCTGTTCGGCTTATGAAGGCCATTGGAGAAAGTAACCGCATCAAATCCAAGACTATTGCGTTTATTGTACACCACCATCATCTCCTTCCTCTTGGTGGGCACACTGCCGGGAAGTTCACCGTTAAGGATTCTCTCTCTACCATTTTTCAAACCATTTTTGCCGATCTGCTTGATCAGATCGTTGTACGTTTCTTCCTTTTTGGAAAGGAAGCTTAGAATGTTCACATCCTTTGAACCCGCCATGGGGACCTGTTTGTTTTTCTTGGTACATGGGTCATTCTCAAAGGACTCTTTCCTTCTTTTGCGTCTCTTTTTAATGGCTTTGTGAACCTCAACAAACATGCTGACCTTCCAGTTTATGAACAGGGATAGCCAGGCAAGTCCAAGGTAGATCCAAATCTCTACAAAATATCTGTACAGGACGCTATAAGACACCTTTGGATTCACACCTGAAAAAAACGAAAAACAGAAAAAAAAACAATTAAGCTTAGATGTTGACAGAAAACTAATTCATTGCTTTGACTGAGAGGGTGAAAGGTCCTTTTTAGTCACATCAGACTTGCAAAACAATATTTGGCAATTTAGGGTTTTAAAGGGAAGTACATTTTTGTCAACTGAGCATTTTCAGATGACTTCTGTTACGAGAAGGACACTCCTGCTGGTAGATACATTAGCCAAATGAATGCATTATGGAAAAACTGAAAATCTAAAAACAGAAATTTCAACGTAGGGTAAATGACTGTCTAGATCATTGGAACATTATTGAAAAGACCCTACGACTAAATGGCGTGTAAGCAGGTTGAAAACAGCTTAGTTGGATATGGGCCCAGGCTTGGTTGAGTAGGGTTAATTATCTGTTTTATGGGCTTTTGGAGCTTCAGCCGGCACACCTGTGGTATAAATTAGGGGGAAGGCTGGGGCCTGGGGCCCTTGGGTTTTTGACATTCTGGATACCCATATGCCCGCAGTGTGTGTGTGGCGCTCTTCAGGAACTTTGCTTCCAAGTATCCTGGGATGCCACCAGGCATGAATCATGCCACCCACTCTGGACTTGGGCCCAAACATACCTTCAGGGAAGAGTCCATTAGTGGTGGCTCTTAGTAGTTAGTTAGGGAATATCAGAACTTGCTTCTTTTGGGACGGTCATCAGGCCATTAACCAAGTTCAGTAAAGGCTGGTAAACGTTCCCTAAGCCTGGTCTGAAGTTACTAAAGGGTTGCATAACGGGGATGGTATATACAAAGAACCTAGGCCTGTTTAAACACTGGACGGGGTATGAAGTACATGGCACTAGTGTCAACAAGTCACATCATAATGGAGAACAAGGTTGTTACTAATGACAACCACAAGTACGGTCATAAGCAATCAGCTGAGGCGTGGTACTCTGGTAGGTGGGATACCCTCTAGTAGCAAGGGGGGCACCAGTAAGGCTCCCTCCCTAGTGGTCAGTCTCCTATAGCAGCCAGCTGCAGACTAGCACTATGGAAGTTCCCAACCCAACCAAAAAAATACAGTACAGAAGGAGTTAACACATGACATGTGTCCGGCGGGGTTTCATTCTGTTACTTGGAAAGAGTTAGCAGAGGTACTCTGGCTGGTGGAGTGGCTCAGTTCAGCCCCCTGCCTCAAAAAGTAACACGTTATACACTGGGAGTAGAGCAATGGGACAGCCCTTGGAAGAGAGATTTACGACTTTCTACTACTTGCAGTGTCAGCTCATCTGAGTTTGGAGACTGCCTTACTGTTAGGCTTTTCAAATCACGGCTGTTCCTGCCTTGTCTCAGTCATTGATGAGCATGCCTCTGCCAAAAGTTACCCCTAGTGTATGGGCTTGTTAGGCCCCACCCACAGAATGGCATAGTCGGAGTAATAGCTCCAACCACTTACATTCAAAACCAATTGTACAACTGAAGGCAACAGTGCAGTGTAATTGTTTAACCACCTCCTGCCCGCCATATAAGGAAATGATGGGCGCAAGGCGGTTCTCATGTCCATCCATTCTAACCGCACATGCGCTGCTCCGGGGGGGCGCAGCGCGGCGATGCGCTCTGTCCCTCGGACACAGCGGATCACCGATCAACGGAAAGAGCGGAAGATGTCGGCTCGGTCATGTGATCAGCTGTGTCCAATCACAGCTGATCACATGTAAATAGGGAAATGCCTGGTTATCAGCATTTCTCTCCCCACGAGCTGTCACGCTGACAGAGGAGAGCCGGTAATCGGCATTCCTCGGCGGGAACATGTACACTGATCATCAGGGCACTGATGATCAGTGTAGCCCCAGCAGTGTGTCTATCCACCTGTCAGTGTCCATCAATGCCACATATCAGTGCCCATCTGAGCTGCCTTTCAGTGTTACCTATCAGTGCCAGTCAGTGCCACCTATCAATGCCAGTCAGGCGGTACGGACTAGCACTGATTGGCAGCACTGACTGGCATTGATAGGTGGCACTGATAGGCGGTACTGACTGGCACTGATTGGCAGCACTCTCAGTGCGCATCAGTGCCACCTATCAGTGCCCATCAGTGCTGCCTAACAGTGCCAGTCAGTGCCACCTGTCAGTGTCATATATGAGTGCTGCCTTTCAGTGCCCATCAGTGATGCCTGTCAATGCCCATCAGTGCCACCTACCAGTGCCCATCACTGCAGCCTCATTAGCGCACATCAGTGAAGGAGAAAATCACTTATTTACAAAATTTTATAACAAAAACTACAAAAAAAAAAAAACTTTTTTTTCAAAATTTTACGTGGTTTTTCGTTTGTTTAGCAAAAAATAAAAAACCCGAGGTGATTAAATACCACCAAAAGAAAGCTCTATCTGTCTAAAAAAAAAATGATAAAAATTTTTTTATGGGTACAGTGTCGCATGACCGCGCAATTGTCATTCAAAGTGTGATAGTGTTGAAAGCTGAAAAACCCTGGGGGGGAAGGGGGCAGAAGTACCCGGGACGCAGGAAGGGGGGGGGGGGGGGGGGGGAGTGCCCTGTAGGCAGGAAGGGGGGGGGGGGGGGAAGTGCAAGTGCCCTGTAGGCAGGAAGGGGGTAGAAGTGCCCTGTAGGCAGGAAGGGGGTAGAAGTGCCCGGTAGGCAGGAAGGGGGGTAGAAGTGCCCGGTAGGCAGGAAGGGGGTAGAAGTGCCCGGTAGGCAGGAAGGGGGTAGAAGTGCCCCGTAGGCAGGTGGGCAGAAGGAAGGGGGGGGGGGGGGGTGGGGGGGGGGGGGGGGGGGGGGGAAGTGCCCTGTAGGTGAGGGGTTAAAAAAAACTTCAAATGTTCTAAAACAACAGAGAAAACCTTTCATAGAACAGTAGTTAGCCACAGACTGGAGTATTCATCTGCCTTCATTTGTAGGTCTTCATTCTGGATAGAGGAAGGAATGGTATGACTATCTCAGGCTCTGACAGAGATTTCCATTCATTTCCCAAACAGGAAGTGAGGAAAATGCTCCAACAGCAACAAAATAATAAAAATGCTGTGGTTTATTAGATTAGGTCAGGGGGTCCAAACTTTTTTTTAAAAGAGGGCCAGATTTGATGAAGTGAACATGCATGAGGGCCGTCCATTTTGCGGCAAAAAAAATGAATTTTATAAAAAGGAGCGATTGATACTGGTCATGACATATTGAAATATGTACTTGTTTCTCCCCCCCTAAGAAGAGAAAAAAAAGAGAAAAAAAAAGAAGAGAAAAAAAGAAGAGAAAAAAAGAAGAGAAAAAAAGAAGAGAAAAAAAAGAAGAGAAAAAAAGAAGAGAAAAAAAGAAGAGAAAAAAAAGAAGAAAAAAAAAGAAAAAAAAAAGAAAAAATTACGCTCACTGATTTCCTTCAATGCTTGCCTTTCATTGGTCTTGCGCATGCTCTGAAACGCGTAAATTGCATGCTGGACATTCCTACGTCATCATGCTGACGTTGACTTTGCGCTCCAGGGTGGACTCCGGACGCCATTTTTGGATCTCACACATGCCAGCCCGCTCCCTGTGAACATCCTGAGTCTCCTCCAGTGCTTACTATTGTGTAGACATCGAGGACACCACCATGTCCTTCGCTTTCATCACATATGCCTAAGCCTTTCATCATGTGTTTCTCATTATGTTCCTCAATAAATGGACCACATATTGCAATTCGAGGTGATTTTCTCCTTTTTTAGATATTGCCAAATTACCTGCGGAGCCGTATTAAACCGGAACACGGCCACAATTGGCCAGCGGGCCGGACTTTGGACATGCCTGGATTTAGGTGAAGGCTAGAGCTTTGTCTGGACTTTGTTGGTCAGGGTTCCTGTTGTACATCTCTCTATTGGATGGATTGCAGTAAAAACCCAACAAAGTATTTATTCCATCCCACTATATCAAAAACTAGAAGAGTTTTTTGGCATGACATACAAATTTAAAGTGACTTCTAAACCCGAATGGGGGTGGCATATTCTGGCATGCAAGTCATGAAACACTTCCTTTTAAGATGATTAATGGAAACAACCTTTCTAAATTGGTTTTTATTACCGTCCTTGAAACTCTTATCCCTGTATTGATCATTCTAATGTTTGCCTTTTGTGTTCAAATGTAGCCCTTCAAGACATGTCATATTACCCGAGTAAGCCCAGCCACCCATGGCAACTGTCAAGAAGGTCAGGTAAGCGTAATAATATGGAAGCACCGAATACCTTGAATTTTAAATGTACCGAATAACCAAAGAAGAACCAAAACCAACCTGCCACGTAGTCACCAAACCCAATGGTGGTGATGGTGATGAAAGAGAAGTAGAGGCCTTCGATATAGTCCCAGCCTTCAGTCTTCATGAAGATAATTGGAGGAATGACCAAGTGGACGAGGACACCCCAGACAATGAAAATTGCCGTACAGGTTATCTGAGCTTTCCTCTGAAAGAGCAAGCAGAATATTATTTGTATTATAATTTTCCTTTAAAAAGCCAGAAATAAAAAAAAAAGGTTTTGACATAAATAGTATTCAGTTGTGTAAAAGCAATCAGCCCAAAACGAAGACAATCCTCCAGATAGCCCAGATGGAGAGAGGCTGGGAACCAGAAGATAAGAGGGGTGCAGCCGGGCGCGCAGATGGGGCAGCAGGTGACTGAATCTGCATGAGATCCGGAGGAAACCGCACCATGTGTTCTACACATGAGGACATATAGAAAAATAAAAGAGTCCCACCTGCTCTGCTTCCAAGTCCCATTCCCAAGACCTTGCTACAGTTTCTCAGAAGGGATGTGTTATTCTAACCCATTACACCACCTAGTCCATTATTCCACATGCACCAGACTACATTCTACCCCCATGCACCACAGACTACATTCTACCCCCCCCCCCCCATGCACCACAGCAGACTACATTCTACCCCCCCCATGTGGCACAGACTACAATCTACCCCCATGCACCACATAGGCTACATTCTACCCCCCCATGCGCCACAGACTACATTCTACCCCCCATGCGCCACAGACTACATTCTACCCCCCCCCCCCCCCCATGCATCACAGACTACATTCTACCCCCATGCTCCACAGACTACATTCTACCCCCCCCCCCCCCCCATGTACCACATAAACTACATTCTACCCCCCAGTGCACTACAGACTACATTCTACCCCCCCCATGCACCCAGACTACATTCTACCCCCCATGTGCCACACAGGCTACATTCTACCCCCCCCCCATGTGCCACATGACTACATTCTAACCCCCCCCCCCCCATGTGCCACAGACTACATTCTACCCCCCCCCCATGTGCCACAGACTACATTCTACCCCCCCCCCCATGTGCCACAGACTACATTCTAATCTATCCCCCCCCCCATGTGCCACAGACTACATTCTACCCCCCCCATGTGCCACAGACTACATTCTAAAAAAAAACCCCCCCCCATGTGCCACAGACTACATACATTCTACCCCCCCATGTGCCACAGACTACATTCTAACCCCCCCCATGTACCCCATAGGTTACATTCTATCCCCCATGCACCCCATAGGCTACATTCTACCCCCGTGCGCCCCACAGACTACATTCTACCCCCATGTGCCACATAAGCTGCATTCTACCCCCATGCGCCACATAGGCTGCATTCTACCCCCCATGCTCCACATAGGCTGCATTCTACCCCCCATGCTCCACATAGGCTGCATTCTACCCCCCATTGCACCCCACACAGACTACATTCTACCCCCCATGTGCCACATAGGCTACATTCTACCCCCCATGTACCCCATAGGCTACATTCTACCCCCGTGCGCCACATAAGCTGCATTCTACCCCCCATGCGCGCCACATAAGCTGCATTCTACCCCCCATGCGCCACATAGGCTGCATTCTACCCCCATGCGCCACATAGGCTGCATTCTACCCCCCATGCTCCACATAGGCTGCATTCTACCCCCCATGCTCCACATAGGCTGCATTCTACCCCCATGCACCCCACAGACTACATTCTACCCCCATGCGCCACATAGGCTACATTCTACCCCCCATGTACCCCATAGGCTACATTCTACCCCCGTGCGCCCCCACAGACTACATTCTACCCCCATGTGCCACATAAGCTGCATTCTACCCCCCCATGCGCCACATAGGCTGCATTCTACCCCCCATGCTCCACATAGGCTGCATTCTACCCCCCCATGCTCCACATAGGCTGCATTCTACCCCCATGCTCCACATAGGCTGCATTCTACCCCCCATGCACCCCACAGGCTACATTCTACCCCCCATGCGCCACATAGGCTACATTCTACCCCCCATGCGCCACATAGGCTACATTCTACCCCCCATGCGCCACAGACTACATTCTACCCCCCATGCGCCACAGCCTACATTCTACCCCCCCCCCCCCCCCATGCACCACAGACTACATTCTACCCCCCCCCCTCCACAGACTACATTCTACCCCCCATGCTCCACATAGACTATATATTCTACCCCATACACCATATAGACTATATTGTACCCCCATGCACCATGCAGACTATGTTCTACCCAAATACAGTACCCTCTACACCATGGGTCTCAAAACTTTCTAAACAAAAAGGGCCAGATTACTATCCTTGAGACTTTTTTTGGGGGGGGGCAGTGGGAGTAGAAAATGCCCTGGCATCTGTGGGAGTAAACATTGCCTCAGGCTTGGTTGTCAATGGGGCTAAGAAAATTACACTGCGCCTGTGTGGTCAGCAGGAGGAGGAATAGTGCCCCATCACTGCTGTCAGTGGAGGAATAGTGCCCCATTATTGGCATCAGTGGGAGGAATAGTGCCCCATCATTGGTGGTCAGTGGGAGGAATAGTGCCCCATCATTGGTATCAGTGGGAGGAATAGTGCCCCATCATTGGTATCAGTGGGAGGAATAGTGCCCCATCATTGGTGTCAGTGGGAGGAATAGTGCCCCATCATTGGTATCAGTGGGAGGAATAGTGCCCCATCATTGGTATCAGTGGGAGGCAATGGTGCCCCATCATTGGCGGTCAGTTGGAGGAATAGTGCCCCATCATTGGTATCAGTGGGAGGAATAGTGCCCCATCATTGGTGTCAGTGGGAGGAATAGTGCCCCATCATTGGTGTCAGTGGGAGGAATAGTGCCCCATCCCTGGTGTCAGTGGAAGCAATGGTGCCCCATTATTGGCATCAGTGGCAGGAATAGTACGCCAAAGGTCAGATAAAAGCAAAGGGCCGCATCTGGCCCCCGGGCTGCAATTTGGAGACCACTGATG